CCCTTTCTTTCCAAATCATACAGAAACTTAAAATTAATCTTACCACATTCGGTCATTTTACCCTCTAAACCACGAACCAACTAATATATTTCCTAACCAACACACATACAACCACAAGCCCTTACAAATTTATTGCAATGATTACATCATAATAGAGTTTCCATAGCATTCAATTACTCAGGCTACCATAAATGAAACAACTTAGCGATAAATGAAACAACAACTTGGTGATAAATGAAACAGCAACTTGGCGATAATACAAGGGGTACCCTAAAGTCAACTCTAACCGAGGAAATGTCTGGAAGAAAAGGTCCAAAAAAAAACTGTTTTAAAGAGATTTTAAAACAGGTAGCTGAACAAAATCCACTGGCTGTAAAGCTGTAAATATTTTCCGAATTAATTTTCATTATTAAAGTGCTTATAAAATGGTGCAGTTAGAGTATATTAAAGGGTGCCCCTTGGATTATCGTTTAGTTGTTCTTTCATTTATGGTAACCTGAGTAGTTGAATGCAGTGGAAACCCTATTATGACATACAGTAAAACCCCGCTTAACGTGAGGGATACGTTCTATCAGAGCGTAATGCGAAACAGCGCTAAACGAGGCTATCTTAAATGTAAAAATGGGTTAGGAAATGAAAAATTGGTTAGGATTAATTAATATTTTTTTTAAATAAAAAAAACCAACATTATTTCATACTTTTCGTTTCGCCGCTCAAATCTCGCCAAGCAGACTTTATTGGCACAACATACAGTATACACATAAAAATATTTAAAAATGTTAGTTCTAAGAATTTTTTATTTTGAAGGCATAAACATTTTAATATCACTTAAAATTTTGTAAAAAGCCAATAAATAAAGACAATAAATTTGTAAAAAGACATTAATTTAAGAATTTACTATGCTTTCATGGTTCAAAATCCTGATTCGCCGGTTCATATCACGTGACCCCAAGCTATCTCATCTCACGTAAACTACTCTACAAAAATCTAATGCTCTCAGTAATTATCTACATTAATTTCAAGTTAAATCTTAATTTGGAACACAAGTTTAAATGCAAGAAATATTTCAATTCGTACGAATAGCTTACTTAGAAATTATGTAAAACTGCAGTGCTTTACTTCGCTAATGCATCTTATTAGAATTGATGAATTTAACCCTTGACTTTACCTTTTCTATATTTTCGGCTTCGGGTAAGAGCTGTGATTGCATCCTAATTGACGTACTTAACTACCGAAAATGGCCTTAGACATAAAACTGAACTATCTGATAAAAATTCTATGTAATTATATGCCAGTATTGAAAAAACCAATCAATCTGATAAGAAAAAGCTGCGACTTGTTTTGAAAATGAGGCGTAAAAGGTTACCAGCGAGAATATTCCTTTGGCATCGATTGTACCATTATTGGCGACTTTATCGCTTGCGCCGGCAAAACGGAAGTACCTTATTTCTTACAAAAATAAACATTGAACAATTACTTATACAAAAATAAATTCTCATCCTCATCATCTATTGTGTGTCCAATTTTCTCCTTTTTGTCAGAACATATAGCTTCGTTTAATGGCAATGCTTTAATTTCCTCTCAATCCTATACACATCTTTTTTTTCATTTCTCTATAATGTTATTTCTAGAACGGGTATTCTAGTTGCAGAGCTTGAGGTAGTTGCAGTTGCCGATGACAGTATTTTTTCTTATTCTTAAAATTGTCCTTATGTTGAAGTGCCAAATTCAATGCAGCACTAATTGAGATTGACATTCACCAGAATATAATGTTCTAATCACCGCATTTTAGTTTCCTGTGAAATGCTTTTTCTGGTTGCTTTCTTTTCTTGTTTTTTACTATCACCCATGATAAAAACTAAAGATCATAATATTTCTCACTGTATTAATCGTTATAGTATTATATAAATTTATACTTACAATAATGTCAACAAATGTTTCAAATGATAAAAATGCGTCCGTACAGCACTGCACCAAACAAGAAACACAACTACACTGTTTCGGATATGTTATTTGGAAACCTAGCGCTGCGCACAATTTTAAAATATTTAACAATATTTTAAAGTTAAAAAACAGATTGTTATACTCATGGACAGAAAACCCAAGACTATAGAAAGTTAAGTGTTTTATTATGGGTGTTTGCTGTGTTTTTAGTTTAGTTAATTTGTTACTATTTTATAAGATTTTGATTGTTTTATTATGAGTGTTTGTTCTGTATGAATTTAGTTAATTTGTTACTGTTTTATGTACTCAAGTTCAGTGTTTTTTTCAAATGGCTTCTGTTTTTACGTTGCTGAAAAATTAGTTGCCAATGATTGCCAACTTTCCTGGCTGGTTGGGTGGATACTATAATTGTATTAAATTTTCTGGTAAAACTGTAGTCCAATTTTTTAAAAGGAAATACTGAAATTCATTTTAATTAGGGCTGCGAAGCTCTTTGGCTAAAATTATAATTTATTTCAAAAACTGAAAAATACTGTAGCCTGGTTCTGGTACAATTTAAGCATTGATTTGAATCACAGGTTATTAAATTAGGCAGCCTTGAATGCCATGCTCTTCATTTTCTAGAGAGAATTTAGAATGCCAAGTTTAATGTTTACCTTTTCACTCTATACTTGTTTTGATTTTAGAAGGTTAGATTTTGGAAGGTTATGAGACAATGTAAAGAATTCTAAATGTCACACAATTGTTTTTTCCAATTTTGAAAATTAACTGTGCTAATTAATAATGTAAGTGTATTTTTAAAAGCTGTATTAAATTTTTTCGTAAAAGAAGTTCTATTTCTATTTTATTTTATTCCCCTGCCTTTTAATTATTCTCGTCAGAAGAACTAAAAAAACTGGAGAACTTTGTAGGATTCAGATTCGAATTTCAGAAAATTTAAGTTTTATCCATATCTAATTCAAACATTCCTAGTTTACATTATATTTCAAATAGTTTGGCTTACTTTTGATATCAGTAATATACTTAAGCTATCACTTTGGCAGCAGAATTCCTGATTAATATGCATGTCTCATATTCACAGTATATTATAGCAGTAGCAGTTAACTTCTCTACCCTCAAGAACCAATTTAAACTGTATTTTGGAACAATGGGTTTCACAAGTGTGTATTGTTTAGCAGTTACTTAGAAATAAACCCTGGATTAATAAACACTAATGATTTCAAAATTCTTGTATCAGTTTCATTTATTTGTATGAAGGTAATTCCAAGATGACTAAAAGTATGAAATTATCTATGGATTTAGTAATTTGATCATTAATAATAAATTTTGTTAACTTTGCTCCAGAAAAAGCTCGTGCCCTGCCAGCCGATCATCACATACACTGACTACCAATAAGTATTTGGACACCTATGCAAATGACGGTATCTGGGGTTCTCACGGACTCCGCCGGTATATATCTTGTAGGAAACAGCATCGGCTTTAGTAGCAGGCAAGATGCCTCGCAGTTCGGAGCTCTCTGATTTCGAGAAAGGTATAATTATCGGGTATCACAAATGTGGCCGATCCTTAAGGGACATATCTAGCGATCTGAACTACCCAAAATGGACAGTGGCCTATATGATTAAGAAGTGGAAGGTGAGCGGTGATTATCGGAATGTGCCCCGTGTCGGCAGACCAACGAAACAGGGAGATAGAGACCGACGAGTGCTGTCCAGAGAAATTCGGAAGAACCGCACCCAACCTATGGCCCTCATCCGCGAGGAGTTTCAACAGGCATCCGGGAGTATTGTTTCAATGAATACCATCCATAAGGAAGCACATCTGCTTGGTTTTCATGGTCATGCTGCTGCCCATAAGCCTTTGATCACAAAGTCCGACCACGCTGCTCGGTTAATGTGGTGCAAAGCACATCGAAATTGGACCGTAGATCAGTGGAAACGGGTTCTTTGGAGTGACGAATCAAGGTTCACCCTTTACCATTCGGATGGCAGGGTCTGGGTCTGGCGTCTACCTGGAGAACGTCTCCTGCCAGAATGCTTTGTGCCAACAGTCAAGTTCGGCAGAGGTGGAATTACAGTCTGGGGGTGTTTCTCCTGGTATGGGCTTGGGACCCTTGGTCCCCATTCATGGTAAGCTCAACTCCGATGCCTACTGCACTATTTTGGATGACAATGTGCTTCCTACGTTGTGGCAGTACAAAATCGGTGAAGGAACTTCTATGTCTTCTCCAAGCCGAGTGGAAGAAAATACCACTAGGTGTCGTACAAAGACTTGTGGAAAGTATGCCCCGGAGGGTCCACGCTGTAATTACCTCTTGTGGAGGCTCTACCAACTATTGATTTTGAATAAAGTTAGTTTTTCTCTTCTATCACAGGTGTCCAAATACTTATTGGTAGTCAGTGTATATACCATTTATCATAACCGAATCTAGGAATTCTCTTTGGCAGCCATAAACTGTATAAATAAGCCTTAGGCACAATTTGGCAGTCGATGTGAGAACATATGATTCTATTTTCCCAAATCTAAGCCTACAGTTTTGTTTATTTTTAGCAGCATGCTATATTTTTTTACTGAATCAAAATGAAGAAAATCTGAGTCACTAGAAGCCTTATAATATATAGAACTGTAATTTAGAGCATAGTTTTGATGTGGTAAAAGTCTCTCAGTTGGTTAATCTATGAATTGATTTTAGTTTTATATAACATATTTGAGCCGTCTGTGCATGTACTTATTATTTGACTAGACAGTGGACAGGAGTTGACACACGGTCTACTAATAATATTTCATAATAACCCTGACATTCAGAGTCTGCTGCTAACTCAAGATTAGGATTAATTCAGATATCCAGAAAATCTAATCTTAAAGTTTCTTTGTTCCAATTTCTTTATTCACTTCTAGTTAGAGTTTTTCGGTAAACTTTAGATTCATCTGCATGTATTATATTTGTTTGTTATTTTATTTCTCCTTATTTGTTTATGGTACATGCAAGACTTCTTATTTATCATTATTTATGTTTTTCAATGTTATTCATAAGTTTTCATTTCAGTTTACTTAAGTTTTCATTTCAGTTTTACTTGCATGAAAAAATGACCATATCCAACATGAAAAAAATTACAATATAAGAGGATATTTGCAGTGTGTATGGAAAAGGGTAATTTTTTTGTTTGTTTGTTTGTTTGTTTTAGCATTATTTATTTATTGCTGGTAGTGTTTTTGTTTTTCATACAGAAGAAAAAATATTTCCATACAAAATGTAAGTTCATTTAAGTTATAAGAGTAATAGAGGCATGACTGAACTTATAAGTTTAAATTGAAGTTCATTTAAAAAATATTAAAATATATGTATAAATTTTTTAACGTACCTTGTTTGATATAAATTCTTTAAATAGTGTAAAATAATTGTTAGTAATCATAGTATTCTTAGTCATGGATGACTAAAAATAAAATCAAGACATTGCTAACAATGACAGATTTTTAAGTAAAACTGTCAAAGAGCAATTTAGCGAATTGAATATAATTATTCTGATGTATGTTATTTGTATTGTATCGTTTCTGTTATTCCTTAAAACTTGTAAATGCCCCAATGCAATTCTTAATTAGTACTCCATGATTTTAATTTTACTTGCATATGACCAAATGTATTATGATAGCTAAAAGAAATCTTTAAAAAAAATTTACTCTAAGCATTCAATTTGAAATTTTTTATTTAATTTTTTTATACATTTTAATCTGTTGAATGGAAGAAAGATAATAAAGAGAAAAAATTACAATCATTGCAAGGAAGGATTTATGTAACAACAGTGTCTGCATGGCATTATCTTTCTTCTATGGTCTTCTCATCTGATGGTGCAAGATTAAGTTCAATTCATTTAAATTTCTGTTTGATTTAGAAATTCAATCTCATTCATGTCTAAAATCATGTGGCTGCTAATGAATCTTTTTTATAAATATCTGTAACTATTAACAGACATCAATAACTAATGAAATGGGATAATTCCTAAAACGTTACTGAAATTGAAGTTTCAATATATTAACCTATAGTGACAGGGCAAAGATAAAAATTTTCTTGTAATTAGTTAATCATTGAAAAATATACGTGGAAAAAAATCAACATTAAACAAAAAAATATGTACGTTGAATTTTGAAAAATACACTCTTTTACTAAAAAATCGAAGCACCTTTTGCAAACGTGATGAAATTTGGTATGCAAATGATCAAAGTTTCAAGGCAAATGAACAGGAATTGCGATCATAACATGCATTTCTAGTGTGCAAAGTATAAAACCAGTAACAGAGGCAGAAAATTTATCTCTTTTTTTTTTTTTTTTTTTTTTGGATGCTGCCATTGTAATTCCGTAAAGAGGCAACTAAAGATGCCATTATGATGGTATTGAAGACCTTGCAGACAACTAAACGACTTCAAACGCGGTCGCATTGCAGGGTTGCGTGAAGCTGGGTGATCATACCGAGCAATAGGCCTTCACCTGCCGCGTACAGACACTGCTGTGCAAAGATGTTGGCAGCAGTGGTTGCTACAAGGAAATTGCCGATGAAATGAAGGCTCTGGAAGGCCAAGGATCACAAATGCAAGGCAAGATAGGATGATTGTTTGCCAGGCCCGAGCCTTCCCAACAGTATCATTGTCGACTATTCTACACACTACAGCTATATACCTCCCGTGGTACTGTCCACCATCTCACAGCGCTTGTTCGAGGTGGGGTTACACTCACAGAGGCCTTTAAGACATTTGCCTTTGACCCCACAACATAAGCGGAGTCGTCTGGAAAGGTGGCATCATATAGTGTTCAGCGATGAATCTCGCTTCACTCTTGAAGCAGATGACCACCGTGTTCGTGTCTGGAGAGGACGGGGGGTCAGCGGTCCCAATCAGCCTTTGTTTTACAAAGGCATACAACCATAACCCCTGGTGTGATGGTGTGGAGCACTATTTCTTATGACAGCAGGTCATCTTTAGTCATCCTCTGTACATCTTTAACAGCTCAATGATATGTTAATACCATCCTGTGGCCAGTTGCATTACCCTTCATGGCGTGTCATCCTGGGAGCATTTTCCAACAAGATAATGCCAGACCATATACCACTCGTGTATCTCTGGACTGTCTCTGTGCGGTTGATACTCTTCCTTGGCCAGTAAGGTCACCAGCCCTTTCACCAACCGAGCATGTCTGGGGTATGGTAGGCCGCCAGATTTGGCACCACAAAATATCACAGATCTGGAGCAACACCTGATGAATGCCTGGCAGAATGTATCACAGGATGACATTAGGAACCTCTGCCACTCCTTGCCTCAACGAATTCAAGCATGCATTGCCGCCAGGGGTGGTTCAATCAACTACTAATTTAAACAATCAATTGGTGATTGTGAGTCATGAACAGGCAGCTGTGACCTTGATGTTCTAATCATTTTATTATCTGTGTATGAGCTGTACACATGTTCAATTTCATCAAAAACAACCACTTCCTTCATGGTGGGTTTTTTTTTTTTTTTTTTTTTTTTTTTTTCTCAAAATTGTGTATCTTTATACAGCCTTGAATTGTCGTTGCAAATATATAGGGCATAACAGAATTGATGGTCACCACTTTAAGAGCGATAGAGGCAGAAGTAATAGTTTCATTAATACAGTTTTAAGTCAAAATCTGAATGCTCAACATCTGATATCTGGAACTTCAGATCAACAGAACTTTTTTTTTTTTTCCTTCAAATAAAATTTATAAATGGAGAATGCAGTACTCCAGAAAAAGAAAAAAGCAGATCTGTCATAAAAGGTATCAACTAACTGAAATTTCTGTATTGCACTTTCAAGACCCCTACTATTCAGGGAATCACACCATCATGACCAATGACAATACATTGATGACAGTCTAGACCAGTGGTTGCCAACCTAAAGAACTTCATGCACCACTAAATGTATAATTTCTTATTTGGCGGGCCACTAATATAATTTAGAAAACAAGGTAAATACATTTATATAATAATAATCAGAAACTGTTTATTTTATAATGTGAAATACAATCATTAGAGGTAACAAAGTTATAGAGCAATTATTTTTTAAAAAATGAAAAATTTGGGTTTATTTAAGTATTGCACATTTTAGTGTGATATTTATTCCTGTTTGTTTGAGATCAGTTTGTGGGTTTTATATTTTAGTGATATCACTGCAAGAACAAGAAACATGTTTATTTCAAGCCGAGACCTGTACCAAGTTTTAATTGCTGACAATAATAGTGTTTGCTGACAGTGGATGACAATGTAATCAACATACTTCCATACCTAGGATCTGGCAAAATGTTTAGGTAATAAAAACCAAAATATTCTGCCAGTGACTGTATGTGTTGTTGAATAATGGATACCACTTACTGGTTGAGATCTTTTTCTCCCATACTTTCTTTAAAATTTATAAACATTTGCAGATTTCCTTCTACAGCGTTTGCCAGTGATATTGTTTTTGAAAAGCATCTATTTTACTCGTAATGTAAACATGTGCTTAAGTTGTCCTTGCACATGTTTAATTCTAATAACAGAGGAAAACCATCTGTCAGGTATGCAAGTTTGGCTACCTACTTAAATCGTCGGACAAGAGTTCTTGAAATTCCGAATTATTTTGCTGGTGAAAAATAATTTGATTTCTTCATGCAGGGCGAACAGTCGAGTCAGTACTTTGCCCCCCCCGGAAAGCCATCTTGCCTCAGTGTGAAGAAGACGATGAATATACTGAGAACCCATTTCTTCACAAAATGTTTCAAGCAGTCAAGAATTAATCACTTTGTGTCGAATTTCATTTATTATATTTGTAACATCTGATAATACTTGGTGTAGTACTGGCAACATTTTTTTTTTTCAGCACAAGATGCTCACTATGTGTAAGGCAGTGTGTAGACAGAAAGTGTTGGTGATTTACATTTTTATCTTTGCAACAACTCCCAAGTGATTTGCAGTCATTTTCAGTCATTTCTTCAATTCTGGGCTTAAGAGTGTTAGCAAACTTATTACTCTCAGTTTCTGTATAGCTTTTTTCCCCAAACCTCTTCATAAGTTTGCAATATGCAAGGCTTGAATAATTCTTCTCCAATCGCATATGGCTTTTTGTTTTTCGCTGTTTAAAGTGCTATTAGATCGATAGCCTTTGATAGGGACTTATCTTAAAAAAACCTTATTTTTTAGGTACCTAGTTATTTTTGCATATTTTCACCCACTTTTTGGAAATGTTCAAGTAGTTTCTTAGCTAAATCTAGCTGTTTTGATTTCAAGTGCCTTTCAAGTTTTCAAGGTTTCATGGCATCATTTGATAAACTCTGAGCACAGATAGTACAAAAAGGTCGTTGATTCAGCTAAGTACCGGCTCTGGAATAAATCCAAATTTCAAGTAGTCTGAAACATATTTTCATGTTATTTTGGGTTTTTTTCTTTCCGCCTCTGTGCTTTCTTTGTGAACTTTCTTTCTAATACTATCTGACCGTAACAAGGAATGTGGATGCTTTGATTAGTTGATCACCTCTCAATAAGTGAAGTAAATTTAATTTCACTAGTTATTCTGATTACAGACGTTATTGATAGACGTGGATGAAACTTACATCTATGACATCTCAAAGCAGAGCAGAGTTTAATTTGAATTATTCATGTGATATAAACATACCAGTTTGCAGAATTATCCACAAAAATTCCTGAAAGTTAGTGTTTACTTTGTACAGTCAAAAGTCGTTAATCCCAACTCGTCGGGACTTCGGCGATTCCGGATTATCGATTTTTTCCGGATTATAGATCATCAGTTTAAATCTCGTAAGATGGCATGCAGAAATTATAAAATTAAAAATATGAAACCGTAATTTATGAAATAAAGAACAATTATGATCTAAAGGGTATCAAAAAAAAAAAAAAAAAAAAAGCTTAATATTTATTTCTTTACTTTATTAAACATTTCTTTCAATGTAAGCTGTTTAAGTTGCTTCGTTTTATGTGATAATACTTTCTCTTTAATTCTATAAACAGACATAATTTCTTGTTCAGTTACAAAGTTCCACTGTTCAAGTCCCGTAATTGCTGTGCCGAGAATACCAACTAACTTTTCAATCGAAATTTTTTCATTTTCATTAACCTCTCTTGTCACCTTCTTCATGTCTTTATCCATTTTTT